GTCGTTTTTTAAGCCATTTAAAGCACTTGTAGTCGTGTTTTATCAGATATAAAACGCTCGGCTGCGCCTCGCGTTTTATATCTGATAAAACACTCCTATACGCGTGCTTTAAATAGTACATATATATATATATATATATATATAAAGCACATATATATATATATATATATATATAAAGCACAATTAATAATTAGTTACGAGTTAAGAACCAAGAAGGCAAGTAACTTCGTATTATATTTCATCCACTAGTCTTTGCATATTGGCCTCTGGTCGGTATTGTCCTACATGACAACACAATACCAGGGTTTCTCCGTAGCAATGGGTTGGGCGGAGGTGAGACACTGGGAACGAGGTTGTAGTCTTAGTTGCACCAGGAGATCTTCAATAACGCACTTTACTCCATTGTTTTTCTCTGTAAAATTTCCTCTTTTCACGGTAAATTCGCCAGTCTTTTTGTCCGTTGCCGTCGCCTCATATTTCCAACTCCACCATTCTGTCAGAAGGTATGGCAACATTCTTTTCACTTTGTACTTTATCATACGCCCTTTAAATTGACACTGAAGAAAATAATGAAAAACAAATGCATTACTAAAACGAAAAGACTCTTAAAACTGTAAAATAACTTCTTTTGAAAATACTTTCATAAATACGAGTTGAATCACGATGCAATCAGAGCAGTTGCACAATCACAGGTATTATGCTAGTGGGACAAACCTGCCCAATATCTTTTATAAAGTTGGCTTTTCTCAACTCATCAATGTTTTCAAAGTTGACTTCCTGTCTAAACTCATCAGAATCTTCAAAGTTGAGAAACTCATCAATATCTTGTTTAAACTTAACACCAGTCGAATAGTCTGTGCGTCTAGCGGGTTGAACTTCGCGTAATGGTCTGACAACAACTATAGGAAAACAGAATTTTTTTCTGTGATAGACCGGCTACGCATCGATTATATGTATAATATAATGGGACATACTGGCGTTCGGGGCTACACTATACCAAATTCGAACTCTCTGCTATTTTCACCGGATTTGAACGAATGTAAAGGCCTAACTCCGGGAAAATTTTCCGCAAAAAGAAAATTTTGTAACTAATGTGATTGGCCGACACAAATTTTCCGTCGCTGGGAAACAAATTTTGAAGTTTCGGTTAAAACTACACTCCGGAAAAGATTGGGGATGGGGGGGGGGGGGAGAAATGGCCTATAGTCGGCAACCACATCCCATTATTATTATTATTATTATTATTATTATTATTATTATTATGATTTTATTTAAAAATGACCCATGTAAGTGACATTTAACAATTATTATTCGTTAAAATCGGGCTAAACTGATTGCCATTACCCAATCTCGTACACAGAGTATGCTCGTTCGCAGGTTAGGTGCTGAGCATGCATCTAACCTGCGAACGGGCATACTCTGGGTACGAGATTGGCCATTACTTGGAGCCGGCGGCACTGGCTGATCGTCTTTGCTGTAGTGAGGCCATTGCTTTATTACATCAGAATATTTGAACATATTGTGGACAACAGATGCCGCCATTACACTGGCAAATGGCTGCCAATCTTTTGTCTCTGAATTACTTCCATCTCCGAAATCTGATACTGCTTTGATAACAGCCCATTCAATGCCAAGATCACGCGCGGCTGCATATAGACCTAAAATTTAAGAACGAAAATGACAATATACCGCATTGGTACAGTAATATAACAGTACTGTGGATGCTTGTATCATAGGCATAAATTTCAGTACAGCAGGAAAATCGCCCCCACATACCCTGAGGGGCAAAAAGTCCCTTAGGTTTAGGCCTCTTAGCTGCCTCGTCCCTCATCGCTTCAGTTGGGAATAGAGATCAGTGGAAAAACAATGGGAGCGCGGGGTTTCGAGGGAACGTCTTATTAGTACGCGGCCGGCTCGACGACGCGGTCTGAATTTCAGCTCAAGAATGAGCGGTAAGCAATTTGATTACTGTAATAAATATTTGACGCTTTTTCAAATAACCTTACAAACTGCTACGTTCGGCTGAAACGATGCAATCTTTGCTGTAATTTCGACTTTAAGAACACCTCTTGGGTCGCATTAAGCTTTCACGTTGCCTGAAAGACGTAATAACGCTTGTTTAACGTTGTCTTGAGAATGACAACGCGGTTGACAATACTCCTGGGTCCACAAATTATTGACAGTTTTTGTCTTGCATGACAAATTTCTTTGTAAGTTCTTTGTAAGTTTGTATGACGGTAAAACATATAACACTATTGTTTGTGGAAACACCAAATTTCTTTGTTTTGAAAAGCGCGACGTCGAGCCGGCCGCGTCGTAGATCGTAAACTCCCTATTAATGTACAGGCGACGCCACGGGGAAAATACAAAGCGCGCACAGAGGACTAGGGACTAGTCTGACAAAGCACTATCCTGTAGACTGTAGGGGGCCTGTAGGCTATTCGTTCCCCTTGTAGAATTCGACTCAAAAACAAGTCGAGAAGGCCGTTAAAGTAAGTTCATTTTCGACATAAATGCACATAAACTACAAGTTAACGCACTCACTTTTGGCCCTTTTGTTGGGGCTCCTACCTACCTGCGCCCTCCATTTCAAGACCAAGTGCGTCTCGAAAATGATTCAATAACTCTTGACGTCTTTCAAGATTATCAATCAACTCTGGACCACTTAACATCACAGCGTCACGATGGACCTCGACTTTTAAACTACTCTGGTCTTGTAACGGTGCTTCCCAACCATCAGCTGCATGCAGAATAAGACGAGCCATATATCGACTCACTTTCGCTTTGGTACCGCGATACTCAACTATCCCATCTGCCCTGACTTTCTTGTCTCCATAAGTCGCCAATTTCGCAGAAATCACGACGTCGCCAAGTTTTGCCTTTGTCGGTTTCATACTTGCACAGATCCCGACGAAAAGGATTACTTTTGGGTGCAAAATGTCAGCGGCATTTTTCACAGCTATCACAGCCTCAGTCGGTCCTTGTGCACATTTCATCAACGCGACTCTCACACTATCGCCAAATTGACCAAAATCCACCATTCCGAGTGTATCATGCCAACTTCTTTGGACATGCTTCATATACGAATAACAAGCGTCGAATTCGTGATCATTTGCTGTTATTAGCAAAATTTCTGTCCATACTTGCGACTGAATCTCAGCACTTGACCAGCCGGAACGATTCTTACCAATTTCCTTCCGAGTTGGGAGTGTGAAATTCAGCTTTGGCGGGACAGCTACTGAGTCACTGCTTTCGTATTTCGCCATATTAAAAAAACTTGGGTAACATTCTGCCCAAATTTAATACGGCATTTCGTCATAACAATGTTTCAGTACAATACAAACGACGATGACTTGGGATTTTACAATTGCAAATTCACATTATAATGGTATCATTTTTCGGGGAAAACCCTCGTGATTTGGGGGAATTCCAAACACAGCTGTCAGCAGCTGATATTAAAAATTCGCGTTTCTCAGTCCTCACGTCCTTTTTAATAAAATATAAAGACTAAATTATAGTCATCGTCTATCAGGGCTATCAGGATTGGTGTAAAATTAAAGATACATATATAATGTCATATTGTCATTGAAATATGACGGAAGCTTTAGCACAGTAGAGACTAGTGGTTTGACCCTGGGTCTGACCTATCAATTATTTTACAATTAAATACACCTAAGGTTTTGGGCTTTTGGCACGCATTTTCCTCCGATTACCAGTCACAAAATGACCTACGTCATTTTCTTCTAAGTTGAATGGTTATGCTGATCATGCTGATAATATTCAAAGGCAAACACCATCCAAGTTGAATGGTTATGCTGATGATATTCAAAGGCATAACACCATCCAAGTTGAATGGTTATGCTGATAATATTCAAAGGCATAATCGGTCCAAGTTGAATGGTTATGCTGATATTATTCAAAAGCATAGCACCATCCAAGTTGAATGGTTATGCTGATGATATTCAAAAGCATAACACCATCCAAGTTGAATGGTTATGCTGATAATATTCAAAAGCATAATCGGTCCAAATTGAATGGTTATGCTGATAATATTCAAAGGCATAACACTATCCATGTTGAATGGTTATGCTGATAATATTCAAAAGCATAACCGGTCCAAGTTGAATGGTTATGCTGATAATATTCAAAGGCATAACACCATCCAAGTTGAATGGTTATGCTGATGATATTCAAAGGCATAGCACCATCCAAGTTGAATGGTTATGCTGATAATATTCAAAGGCATAACACCATCCAAGTTGAATGGTTATGCTGATGATATTCAAAGGCATAGCACCATCCAAGTTGAATGGTTATGCTGATAATATTCAAAGGCATAACACCATCCAAGTTGAATGGTTATGCTGATGATATTCAAACTTCAAAGGCATAACACCTTCCAAGTGAAATGGTTATGCTTAATCTTCAAAGGCATAATAACCATCCAATTATATAATTGAATGATTATGCTGATGTTGGTTAGTTTGGTTATGCTGATGATATTCAAAGAATAACCATCCAAGTGGAATGGTTATGCTGATGATATTCAAAGGCATGATTACATCAACAAAATGGTATGTTATCATGAAATCTGTATAAATAATCTATATTTCAAAGAACTGTATTTCCTGGAACACTAATAAAACATCATTTCATGAATTCTCGGAAAATTCGTCATGTTACATACAGTAATTAACATACACCAGATGGCGATTTAAAATCAATATGGCTGCTTTGAAATTCGATTGACATGAACAATCATCTCAATGTTTTCTGGTAGCTTTTTTGATCGAAAACAGTAAGAATCAACTAAGAAAAGAGCATTAAAATAAAACGGGGTTGGTATTGTTTTGCCCCGTAACTGAGATTACACTTCAATCCTATGCATTTGGTTTCAGAATAGAAATATTTGGACATGTTGGGCAAATAATTTTCAGGCCAGGCAGTTTCAGGATACGCTATAAGATTGAGATGTCCTTATGAGCTGAAGTGAAAGATATATCGTAAGTATCAAGACTTGTGATTGTTTACGAGTTTAAATTATCTTTAGGAGGTTCTTAACCAATATAATAACACTATTATATTCCGTTAGTTGGAGAAACTGAGTATTGGTTTACAACCTTTGTTCATATATATAGTTATTTTAACACACAAACTGTAGCCGTAATAAGCTCACTTTAGCTTGTCAAATGCTCAAAGCTATTTCAATGTATTCTACCCAGATTTAGACAACTTTCTATAAACTTTTACCATATATATCGCAATGCAATTGCCGTCTGTCAAATATAGCTTTGCTCTCGAGATTTTAGCAATATCACATTTCCGGGTTACCCCCATAACTTGTCAACGAGCGCATTATTAAAAGTCTTTAAATATCTCGATTTTCAAGTACAATTGTTCGAAATTTACCAGATTCATTCACATATTAGTACACTGTGTACATACAAACTTTTCAGGCGTTAAAACTTTACAATTTTAGGGAATTTAAGTGTAAAATTTTGTTGTTTATATTCGCCTGTCAAATATCATGCCTTTTGTAATTAAAATTCAACATATCTTTATTCCAATTTCCTGCCCTTTTAATTGTGAGAATTTTTGTATTTTAGTATTGGTATTTATAATATTTCACTCGAGAAGTTTCTTGGTTCTAGTCAATGTCGTTTTTGGGATAGTATTTGGTTGATTTCAAGACATATTTCCTAAGGTATTTTCAAACTGGCATTTAATAGTTTAAATGTCCAATGTTTTTATTAGCATGCTAATTTACTACATTTTACTTGTTGCCTTTAAATTTATTCATGACAGAATTAATTCTTTGAAATTTAAGTTGATTTAATTTTTTTATATGCTTGGGGATTACAGGATCAAAAACCAATACCAGATAACAATTTTAAAATATATACATAGGCAAATATATATATACGAGCAACTGAAATCTTTTACATATAAATTAATATATGGGATTAGGTTTAGATGGGGTTGTGCATATATTGAGAAATTGCCAAAAAATTTAAGAAATATAAAACATAATCCTCCAATAACTGATAATGATTTTGGAGTAAAATTGAAATATCTATACTTATTCGCATCTTGTTTTGACTTGTATCCTGGGTTTTATAAGCTATTATATCTTTGGATTATATTTTGCTCTTGGTACCTAATACTGTCACTGACAACTCTTGAATAGTGTTTTGAATTAATAAGTTATTATTATAGGTTTGGTATATATATAGGTTTGGGACAGCTGGTGGCAACAAAATTTTATTTCTCATGTTTCACTCGCTACTCTGGTTTAAATAAATGACTACAAAGCCCAGTCGAATTGTAATCAAGACTGGGCTTTGTAATAATTTATCTACACCAGAGTAGCGGGCGAAACATGATTGATATACCTGGTTGCAGTGAAAGAACAAACTTTAAAATTTTATTTATTATGACAGTTGCCAATGAATTACATATGATAGGCAGAATCAACATCGGTGTCAGTTTGCCGACTAATGAAAACCAGCCATAAAGCTCTTTTTATAATTCCCTAAATTGAAAGATTTCTGATGCTTTTAATAGCAGTGAGGATATTGATTGAGTAGCATGCGCCCCCTACTCCCAAAAAGGCCACTCTTCTCCCTTGCAAAGGTATCAGTGGACCACTCTAGGAATGAAGTGTCAGTATTTAATGGTTAAATGACTACAAAACTGTCATTCATTTTCTACACATACTTGTTTTTCAGTACAATGGATGACATTCAAAGTTATACAGACAAACTGAGAAAAACCTATCGACAATCTCTTGGTGAGTTAATTTATGTGCCATCTAATGCCATGCGTACATATGATCAATTCACTTTTCAAAGCTGGTATGGTACACACATTAATAATCATATTAACTTCCTTTATTGAAAGTTTATCCACCATGATATAAAATTGATTTTTAAGATGTTGTTCTACCATTTACAAAACACGAGGCTGTTGTCTACTGTAATGATGACGAATTTGAAACTTTATTGGAAGAAAAACATTGTGTTAAGGTACTGATGCATTAATATCTAAAACCTAAATGTTATTGTCCCTGGAAAACTTGGACCAGACAACTTGTGGGTGTTTATATGGAGAAATTTTCATCAGATAAGCGAGATCTCTCCTTTTTCTAGTGAAATCTTGGCAAGCAGGCCAGTCTGTTTGTTTATATAGATGCATGGTAATTTTTACTATGCCTGCAAAAAAACTAAATTAATATACAGGCATGGTCTATGTCGACTGAGGCCTATCTTTCTGCTTGTTTGATTTGTTTGCCTGTCTATTTGTCAGATCTTGACAAAGGAAAAGCAAAACACACAAAAGAACTAGAAAAGTGCGAAAGCAATTCAGATTCATTCTTGAGCCCTCCCCTCCCCCCAATATTGATTTGCTTCCGACAGCCTTGCAAATGCCAGAACTCCGTTTTCAAATGCCAGAGCTCCGTTTTCAAACGCCAGAACTCCTTTTTCAAATGCCAGAACTCCTTTTTCAAATGCCAGAACTCCGTTTTCAAATGCCAGAACTCCCTTTTCAAAAGCCAAAGCTCCGCTTTCAAATGCCAAAACGCCGTTTTCAAATGCCAGAATTACCTTTTCAGAAGCCGGAACTCCCTTTTCAAATGCCAAAACTCAGTTTTCAAATACCAGAACTCCCTTTTCAGAAGCCGGAACTCCCTTTTCAAAAGCCAGAGCTCAGTTTTCAAATGCCAGAACTCCGTTTTCAAATGCCAGAACTCCCTTTTCAAATGCCAGAACTACCTTTTCAAAAGCCAGAGCTCAGTTTTCAAATACCAGAAATCCGTTTTCAAATGCCAAAGCTCCGCTTTCAAATGCCAGAACTCCGTTTTCAAATGTCAGAGGTCTGTTTTCAACTGCCAGAATCAAAAGCCACAACTCCGGCCGTTTTCAGCTTGATATATGAAAATTTCTTCGGTGCCTGGTTCCCTGTCGCAATTTGCAAGCTTCAAGCGAAGCGAGCAAATTTGGACCACGCAGGGCTAACTGAAAATATTTTTGCTACCTGCAAAAAAGAACCAAATATACAGGCTTGAGTCTTCATGGGAATTCTAAAGTATGAAACTACTTGACCACTAGAGGTATCACTTGAGTCTGTTAAAATCAGAAGGAAATTTATTGTGTTCATATATACTTGCTGAAACAAAAGAATTTACAGAATTATCAGACCTACGATAATTTCAAAATTAAAATAAGTTTATCGAAGTTTAGAATTGATTTTCATTGGTTGAAAATCTATTGTATGTTTTACATCTATTTTGTATAGGATTTACAGGCGTGTATATATTTACTGGAAAGACACATTGATTTACAGCAAGAGATTATTCAAGGCCTGACACACTTGCAAGAATTACATAAGTAAGCAAGTGCATTATGGTAAAACGTGATAATGCATGAGAGTTGCGTGCGAGTTGCGACAGAGAGTTCCGCGAAAGTTGCGTGAGAAAGTTGCGTGAGAGTTGCGTGCGTGTTGCATGCGAGTTGCGACAGAGAGTTCCGCGAGAAAGTTGCGTGAGAGTTGCGAGAGAGAGTTCCGTGCGAAAGTTGCATGAGAGTTGCGTGCGTGTTGCATGCGAGTTGCGACAAAGAGTTCCGCGAGAAAGTTGTGTGAGAAAGTTGCATGAGAGTTGCGTGCGTGTTGCGTGCGAGTTGCGACAGAGAGTTCCGTGAGTGTTGCGTGCGTGTTGCGTGCGACTTGCGAGAGAGAGAGAGAGAGTTGCGTGAGAAAGTGCTATGACGAATCATCCTTTGCTGGTTCGTTGCATGAGAGTAGCGTGCGAGTTGCGTGGGAGAATTTCGTGAGAATTGCACGAGAGTTGCGTGACAGTTCGTGACAGAATTGCGTGAGAGAGTCGCGTGCGAGTTGATGCGTGTTACACGAGAGTTACGTGAGAATTGCATGAAGTTGCATCAAAGTTGGCGCGAGAACTAATAATATTCCGAAATCTTTTAGGTTTGACGAACGTCCTTCAGAGTACAATATTATCACGGATAAGCTGCTTACTGCTCAGAACAAACTAGCAATGTTGAGAAGTCGGACAGTACGATGTCTCACAAAGGTAACTGTGTGCTAAAAAGCTTTATAATATAGCGTTTGTATATTCTGAACGCTGATTGGCTAAGAGCCGTGTTGATATAACTCAATGTCAACACGGAAACATCGGAAAATTTCTTTTTTTATATTTCTTTGTGCTATATTATAAAACAAATATAGAACATTTTTTTCCGTATTGAAATATAGTTATATCAACACTCATGGAAATTGGGAAAACTCGAAATTGTGTGCAAACACTCCGCCCTTCGGGCGTCGTGTTTCCACACAATTTCTCGTTTTCCCAATTTCCACTCGTGTTGATATAACTGTATATCAACACGGAAATGTTTTATATTTGTTAATTATCATTTCTAAACTATCTCGAGGTCTAAGTAAGGGGCATCTCTTATTGCGCCAGTGTTTCTACAGCGGCAAAGCATAGCCCACTTGCACTTCAAACCATAGTACCACTTGCACTTCAAACCATAGTACCATTTGCACAAACTTTGTACAAATTCCAGTCAAATTTCGTCTAAACCTCTGTAAGAAGTGCTTCTTAGCGTTTTCTATTTAGAATTTGTTGTTTTGTGGCAAAATGTTTGCTTTAGTAGTTCAATTTTTCCTTGCGTGATATATATTCTGAATTAAATTACAGTATCTATTGTTTGAAACAAAAAAATCAAAACACGCGCATGAGCAGAACAGACTTGTCAGCTCTTTAATCGTATGATTACCTATACATTCACAGCAAATTCAACAGAGATGTGGTGATTCTAACATGCAGCTACCTCGTTGGTCAGTGAACACGGATAAAGAAATCATCCGAGACCCAAATGACTCTTTCACCAATAGCGAACCTTATCTTCACGAATCAGTCGCACCAGAAACGAATGATTCCCCAAATGAAAGCACAACTATAATGAAATCTGAAAACCTTAATAATACCATTTATGAAAATTGTAACGGATTTGAAAAAACGTACGAGACAAGTTCTAATTTTGATAGAACTGTTGATGTATTCGAGGAAAATAATGCACAAAACAAAAGTGAAGTTTTACAAAAACAGTCGGGAAACGGACACCAAAACGGTAATCCTCAACTTTCGGACGAAGATAAGCTTTTGCACGAAGATAAAATTAATACAAGTACTGTCTCAGACCGCCCCAAAGATAGTTTAGATACGGAAAATCCGCAAAAAGGCAAAAATATAAACACGATTGTCCAGCCTCGAAAAGGCGGGAAGAACAATACCGTTACTGGTACTGAAACTCGTCAGGAAGCATCGTTTGATTCGTATAAGCTCGAAAAAGTGAAGGAAGATTTCAGCTTGGCCAATTCAATTCACGACGAAAGGAAACACGATTCCGAACAGCAATTCGTAAATTCACATGCAGCAGACACGGGAGTACAACTGTTTTTGAACGTTTCCAATTTTAATTCTGACGAAAGCGATGGGGAGACACCTCGCGTTAATAGCATTAGCAAACATATACTTGAACCTGTCGAGGAAAGAGTTACCGTTGAAGTATTGCAGCCCAGGCAGAGTGGAGTTGCTGAGATGTCGGAGAAAGAAGGACTACAAGTTGGGTATAATGCTCCTAAGCTGGTTGACGAAGATTCTCATACAAACGCAGTAAGTCTTTGGGTTTAACTATTGTCATACGTCCTGGTATAAAGCCTGGTTTATCCTACCAGTCAAATTTCGTCTAAACCTCTGTATTATTATTTATTCATTTTGTCACACACATAAAAGATATACATTTACATAGAGATATAACAGTAACAATAACTAGAAAATGCTGTGACAGGAGAAGAAAACAGAAACTAAATTCCAATTGATATTCGACCCCTTAACAATTAATGGATAACGAGACGTACTAAGACAATTATGCACGAACATATCACAGATTACATGCAACTTAACATATAGGATACTGTACAACGAATTTTAGAGTAAAATTATCTATGGTGGTATGTAGGTAAACAGTTTGGCTTTATAATAAGTGTGTAGATGTTGCTTGAAGGTCTGTAGGGAATGGGCGGCTTTGATGATCGGTGGTAGATTGTTCCAGAGGATGACGGTGCGTGGGAAATAGGATTGTCGGAATAATTCTTGATTTTTGGAGACGATTATGTTATAGTTGTTAGGGTCGAAGTTGCGTGTGGCCATGGATAATAAAATAAATGGATAGGAAACTAGCTGACGTGACCTAATGTTTTTACTGGGATTGATGGCGTGGTTGGATGCCTCATCCTAGTTGAAAATCAAATTCTCAAAAACGGCATGTTTAGCAATAATACAGCTAAACATTTTAGTCAAAGAGCAAATAAATGTAACCACGCCATTCTACGATGAAAAGTCTAAGTATTCCCAGTCAATTTTAGCAAATATTTCAAGCACTAAACACTGAAAAATACATCGCAAATTTCGTTAAAATTTGTGACGCCAATTTCGTAGCTACAAATGTAAAAAAATACAAAACAAAGACGAAAAACTTTTACCTTGAATACTTTGTCGTGGCTTAGGCATGTTTTTAAAACAATTAGACCAGTTTACGCTTCAAGATCACCCTTTTAAAGTGGAAAATATAGCAAAACAACAAAAATGCCGAGAACTTTGGTAACATTCGCAATACGCGTGACGTCACGTTTTTCAACAAGGATGCAGTCAATGACGTCAGAAGTTTCCAATCCATTTATTTTATTATCCATGATACCATATAGATAGAGCGTAATATAAGTTTTCGTTTTACCTCAAAAAAAACCCCACAATAGTCCGTATAGGATGAAACAGACTATTGTGGGGTTTTTTTTTGAGGTAAAACGAAAAACTATATATATATATATATATATATATATATATATATATATATATATATATATATATATATATATATATATATATATATATATATATGTCACGCAATATATTTCCAGTCAACAGATAAGCGTTTGTCTGTCTAACAACACAAATAAACATGGATTAAGGTATTTTAGAATATTCTTAGTGCAAAATAGTTGGTATACACTATTAAAGTGCCACTGCGATGGAAAATCGTGCTGTCTTTTTATTGTATATTCAGGAAGTATGTCTGTAGATAAACAAAATCACCAAATATCAGCGTCCAATTCCATTTCCTTCTGCCTTTTTTTTCAACGCAAACATGCAAATTTTTCGGCCGCCATTACTGAGTTGTCAATTAGCGAGATGTTGATTTCTTAGCCGGATGTGACGTCATTTACTCAACACGCTTCTTTCCCGAAGGAGAAATTAATATTATCAAAGGCTTATACTAGGCTGTTTTTTGTTCAAAATTATGTCTTCTGACGAAAGCCACAGCTCAAATTTTGCAACACAATCATCTTGCGAACTCTCTTTTGCCGAAGACGTTTCTTGTGATAGCGGGGGTGATGTAAATATGGAGAAAAGTGTGGATTTGTGCGAGGCCTATGATACTTCAGTCGAGCCTGTCGAGGCTCTTGCCACTGAAAAAACATAATACACGAAAAGTACTATAACTGACAGAGAGCAAGAGCAGCAAACACTGTCTGCTGGATTGTCTGGGGAAACCTTAACGGGCACCTGGTACGTTTTGGATTGTATTTATTTACGTTTTGGTTTATATATTTGTGACATAAAACAAACATGTGATGGCCATGTTTAACAAAACAAATGGTCACTGGTCTCCTTATAAAAAATCATTGTCACCTCCGTTATATTGCACGAAACGTCTTCAATGAGAGATGGCTTAAAGATGACTGTGTTGCCAAATTGGAAATCCTAACTCACGTAAGAACACATATTAATTTGCACAAAGTTGTGGGAAATATATTTCAATTATATATATTAATATAAATATATTATAAACTTCAATAGTATACTTCAATAGTAACTGTGTCCTGGCTCATTGTTTATGTGAACCTTGTAAGAAAAAATGCTGGAAGAAAACATGCATGACCAGCATTTGATATTGGTTGTATTTGAAAACCCTCTGGAAATATCAAGACTTTTAGTATACCCCCATTCCATTGGAAATCTTGATGCAATGGTCAACTTCACCCCCCATCCTCTTGAATTTCCGATCTCTTCTGTAGCAGGGTGGGGTGTGGGAGGGGGGGTATGGCTATTTCCTGGAACTATGCAATTTGACTGAGTCATGTAGAAGTAATTTTTGGCATTAAGCATTCCCTCAAAAGGCAACCCCCAGACATATTTGCATGTTTTTCTTTAAAAAGAATGACTACCAGGTAGGTTGGTGAGAAAAAGAGCACTCCCTACTCTGGCAATGAGTGGTAAGAAATTCTCATCAGCCAGGGGCAGCCAAATTGATACAATGTCATGATCTGAGTATCATATTCTGAATTTAGTAATGTTTGAATCCCTGTAAAGGTGAGCAAGGTACTGAAATATCCTGTCATGTGAACAAGAAAACTTGAAAAGCCTATAGCTAAGTTATATGTAAGCCAAACAAGGATCTTGTATTATGAATCCTGGTGTTTTTGTGCAGAACACAGCTCACAAATAACATGATAGTTTTTGGATTACTAAATTTTAAAGCTGTCATGTTAATATATAAATTTTCTTTTTGAAAGTATGTTTCTTAGGGCAGTTGCATATCAAGTAGTGAAGCTTGTGTGGAGCTGTATACCAACAGTTCAAGAAGGTACCCCCTTCCTTGCTGTGCATATGCCAAGATACGGTTTCTGTCTTGTTTATGTGAACAATGAACATTTTGCCGAGATATTTTTTAAAACACCGACATCATGCTTTAAAGTATGATAGTAGTAAAAAACTGTTCAGAATTTCCATAGGGGTGGGGGAAACAAGCTGTCAGTGACAATTAGAAAAATCTAGAGGGGTGGGGGTTCATAATTAACTAATAAAATCTCTTCCATTAGCAGGGGGTATTGCCTAGAACTACACATTGAAATACTTAGTCTGGTTCACTCTTTTTCCCTTTGGTATACAGAGTGGTATAATTTGGCAGCCTTTTAATCAGGTTTTGTAACTTAAACCAGGAAGTTTTAACACCCAATGTTTCAAACAACCAATATCAAATGCTGGATGCTCAGTTTAATAAGCAGCAGTCATGCATGTTTTCTTCCAGCATATTTTCTTACAAGGTTCACATAAACAACAATGAGCCAGGACACAGTTACCACATTTATACCTATGGATCATTAATATATTAAAGTATACTATTGAAGTATACTATTGAAGTTTATAATATATTTATATTAATATATATAATTGAAATATATTTCCCACAACTTTGTGCAAATTAATATGTGTTCTTACGTGAGTTAGGATTTCCAATTTGGCAACACAGTCATCTTTAAGCCATCTCTCATTGAAGACGTTTCGTGCAATATAACGGAGGTGACAATGATTTTTTATAAGGAGACCAGTGACCATTTGTTTTGTTAAACATGGCCATCACATGTTTGTTTTATGTCACAAATATATAATCCAAAACGTAAATAAATACAATCCAAAACGTACCAGGTGCCCGTTAAGGTTTCCCCAGACAATCCAGCAGACAGTGTTTGCTGCTCTTGCTCTCTGTCAGTTATAGTACTTTTCGTGTATTATGTTTTTTCAGTGGCAAGAGCCTCGACAGGCTCGACTGAAGTATCATAGGCCTCGCACAAATCCCCACTTTTCTCCATATTTACATCACCCCCGCTATCACAAGAAACGTCTTCGGCAAAAGAGAGTTCGCAAGATGATTGTGTTGCAAAATTTGAGCTGTGGCTTTCGTCAGAAGACATAATTTTGAACAAAAAACAGCCTAGTATAACCTTTGATAATATTAATTTCTCCTTCGGGAAAGAAGCGTGTTGAGTAAATGACGTCACATCCGGCTAAGAAATCAACATCTCGCTAATTGACAACTCAGTAATGGCGGCCGAAAAATTTGCATGTTTGCGTTGAAAAAAAAGGCAGAAGGAAATGGAATTGGACGCTGATATTTGGTAATTTTGTTTATCTACTGGCATACTTTCTGAATATACAATAAAAAGACAGCACGATTTTCCATCGCAGTGGCACTTTAATAGTGTATACCAACTATTTTGCACTAAGAATATTCTAAAATACCTTAATCCATGTTTATTTGTGTTGTTAGACAGACAAACGCTTATCTGTTGACTGGAAATATATTGCGTGATATATATATATATATATATATATATATATATATATATATATATATATATATATATATATATATATATATATATATATATATATGACGCTAAAGGACTAATTAGGCTTTTATTTTTGTCATATAATTGCGCGTGCACAAAGAATATACAGTAGAACCCCGCTTACTCTAACTCCCAAGGGGAACGAAAAGTTGTTCGAGTTAGCGGGTTCGAGTTGTCAGATTTCGTTTATTATGTTAATAATTAATAAGGTATAAAAGTTTTATTATACTGTTCATCAAAATTACAAAAAGTTTAATTGTGCATCCCTATCTGTATCTTTTTAACTTGGGTGATGGAGGAGGCACGCAAGTTCCATGCAAACTAAAGTTCTTTGGACAGGAAAAATATGTAGAGATTTACAAAAGGAACTAAAAAACTAGATCAATAACAATCGTCGCAACTATGTGTATAATCTTTTAAAATTTATGCTCATTATACACCGATTAAATTGCTGTTATTTGAATAAAAATCCAAGTTACCGGTTGTCAAAATGCTATGTTCTGACATTTTAAGGTTTGCCGATCCACGACTCGAAAACAAAGTTCGAGTTAACTGGAGAATTAGCGAGGAGTTCGAGTTAAGCGAGTTCGAGTTAAGCGGAGTAAGTTACCATAAAAAACAGTGTCAAATCCAAGGGGAATTGGATTTAGTTTGAGTTAGCAAGGAGTTCGAGTTAAGCGAGTTCAAGTTACCGGGGGACTACTGTATATATACTAGTTTACCCACAGGGTAGTGAATTCTGCCTTGGTTTTGCATTGGTCCCACGAATAAGAAATATTTGTAAATTGTAATGAATTGGAATCATCCATAATTTATACATCAACATTTTCAAAAACGTACCAGTTAGACCAGGGGTTAAATTAAAGAGCAATGACAATGACATGCAGGTGACATTTAAAGGAGCTGTGTCACCGTCTGCGCATCCCTTCTGCGCATACACAAACTTGATAAAGTTGGCCCAACCTTTTCAAGTTTGAGATTCCAATATGGCGTCCATACCAGGCACTACTCATGGCGGTACAAGACAGAATACCGGCCGAAAGAAAATGTTTTCAGATAAAAAGCAGCGCAGGAAATCATGGGGTAAGGCACACAGAAGGATATACTTGACATTGAATATATTCAAAACATGGTCCGATGCGAAAATAATGGCTGGATATGAGCGATCAACTGACAGCGATTTTGCCTCTCACTTATTATCTTTAGAATTTCGTAGAAGGTAAGTTTCCTGGCAATTTTTTTTTTATTTCTCTTTTACTATTAACCGGCAAACAACTTACACGTATTTCCCCCCGCTTAATTGAAGATCTAATCCCGATATTCCACGAAAACTGAGTCGAAGTATATCTCGAAGTATATCAACCTCATCGCCAGAAGGTCGCAGTCATATGGCTGAAGAACGGGCCCACATCAGTCAAGGTGAAATTATTATTTGGATTGATTTTTACAATACCCGTTCGAGAATTATTTGAAGTATAACATAACGTTTAATTGTATTTTTGATGATAGATGCCGTACTATGATTAAATAATAATATACACTTTACTGTACTTTGTTAATGTAGCAGTAGAACCACAAACGTCTACACCATGTAAACAATCAGATGACACGACACTTATACTCAATGAGTCTCCCATCCTTGGCAGTAAGGAACAAACAAACCATAATGAAAGAGCAGAAATGGAAATAGATGAGACCATTTCCAGTCCCTCATTTTATGAGAGGTGAGTTCAAATAGTTTACATGCTCCTGCTTTGTTTTATTGACTTATCTTTGACTTTGTTGTCAAATTCACGTTTCAAGTAATAAAATATCTTGCAGTAGCAAATGAACTGGAAACCAAATTATTATAATTGTGGTTTTAAATGCCAAGATAATTGACAATTGGTCAACCAGGCTACAATGAATGCATTCATGTATCTAATCTGACTAAGCCATTTATCCTGACTACCTCATTCTTCAAAAAAAAGAAGTGTACTGCACATAAAGACACAGAATAGATATATTTTACATGCTAGAGTGCACACAGCACTTTGTACCTATGTTTGGCCTATGAAAAACTTCTGTGTGCACTCTAAGTGGCGTCATATGATGGTGTATTTTCACGTCGGCAATTGTAAAATTTAGTATTCAGTATCCTGTGATAAAGAGTTCAGAAATCTGTTTTTATACTATTTGAGATGGAAGCAAATACATCAATATTTTCGGATGATGAAGAGGACTTTTTGGAAGACACAAGTTCTGACGAAAGTCTCAGGTATGTACAATTCAAAAACCTGTCAGGTCTATGTAGTAATAGTATGTTCAATAACTGGAATGACAGTACGTTTTTTGATTCACAAGATATACCGTATATTTTACCAGATATTTTTATAATAATACTGTTTAAAAACAGTTATTTGATGAGGTTTTTGTGATATCTAGATCGAGTTATCAAGGTTGAGGTAAGTGTTATCAGTTGAGCCAAAGGCGATCACTGATAACACTTATTAGGCATGAATATAAAGTCATACACAATTTCAAACTAGACTAGAAAATACATGCATGCAGAAACCCTCGCCTTGCTGACAAACAGACAAAACCATTGTATTTTCCGAACATGAAGTATCTGAAGTAGTTGTCATGGTAACACGATAATTTTTTAAGAATATTCTTACAAATGAAAAATCGCCTAAAAAATATCACTTTTAATTACAAAATTATTAATTTGCCAACATATATATGTTAGGTATGTTATTATACGTAATATAAGCCTCAATTTAAGGTAAAATTCAACCATAAACGCTTCGCAAAACGTTTTAAAGTCACTAGTGTTCTTTATAAAACTAAACTGACTTTTAAAATGGCTTTATCGATAAACTTTGAGTTTGCAATAAAATGACTTCGAATTCTCGCTTGCAAATAACTCTGCTTTCTTTTTTATTTAAAAAATTCAATATCATAAAAGAGGGAATCAATATTACTAAAGATACACTGAAATAATATGCTGTCTTGTTTAGTTGTTTCATATATGCAAAGGCCGTCGGGTTTTAAATTAAATCCATTATAAAATCAATATTTAAAACAAAGTTACCTTCGTTAACGTTGGCTCACTTCTTTTAGCCGATTCTTTCGCTGTTTCTTTCTTGAAATTTACAAAATCTTGCGAAAATGCGAGCGAAAATGAAATATATTTGTGATATTTGCAAGAAATTTATCAATCATCAAATCAAGAAATGTTTGCTATTTAGCTGTCGTCATGCAGTCGTTAATCGTTATAATGCAAACTTTAAATTGGACCAATCAGTTTTCGCTATTCATGACAGTCCGCCACATATTTTGAAATCAGTGAGGATGACCACCCACCGAAACTTCGTTGGTGAGCCACGCCCGCGATATTTGATGAACTTTAGACTTCGCTAATGCTTTCGTTTCCCCGGATGTAAATAGCCGGGGGGAATTAGTACCCTCGCACGGCGCTTCGCGCCGTCGGCTCGGGGATAATCAAAATTTATTTTCGGATTTCGTACACCCTTATGAGAGCATTGTCATTTTTCGATAATATGGATTGTGATTTGTGAAGTGGTTGATTCAAGTTATTAAACACAATCTAAAAAGAGATCATGGGGTCTACCTTCCAACCCCCCATTGTATATGTAGGTCTTCTATTGCTGGTTGTAATTTCTTGTTGTTGACAGGCATGATGAACTCACCCATTCAGCAATTGAAGCTTTAAATGCTGAAGAAAAGCATGAGGAATATGAGTAAGAATTTTTTTTGTGTTTAAAATACCATTCAACAGTTTAACTCATTGGTGCACAGTACTCTTTCCTTGATGACTTAAATCATATGCCATTAGACAGAGTAAAATAATAAAACTGGATTTTCCATTCTGTAATACTGATATTACCCTGAGCCAAAATTGCGTTTAAATTACAATATTGTTTCAAACTTCCTGGATTCATTTCCCATTTTATTTTTAAGAACAATTATTTATTGTAACTTATTTTACAGAGATGAACACTTCTGTTCAACAGAAGAGATAGGTGATGAAGAAATTATGCAAGACCTGGAATGTTATTATGATAATCAACATGACAGTTATGACAATGATGATGATTGCACACCTGAATCAGTTGCCAAAGATATTTCCCACAACCTCAATGGAAATATTAGTCTAGGGTATGGACCGCACCCCAAATTTAGTAGGGGAGATGAAGTGTATGCCCTTGAAAGGGAGTTCAAGATGGTAACTGAAAAAAAAATTATTTGTTCACTGGATTTGATGTTGGAGGTATTTGCCAGATGTTGCCAGACACCTGGTTGTGCTGATGTTCCGCATATAACATATCATTTTGTGGGGACAACTCTGATTGTTAACTGTTCCTGTCAAGCTGGACGCACGTTTAGATTCTGTTCTTCGCGCGAGGTGAATCTCATGTATGTTAACAACATTCAAATCTCTGCAGCAGTGCTACTTTCAGGCAGTAATTATGGCAAGATCAATCGTTTAGCCCAGGTTTTGAATTTAGCATTTCCATCCAAATCAACATATTTCCGAATACAGCGACTGTATTTACTTCCAGCTGTCGATGAGTGGTGGGGTTGGATGAGGGGCCAGCTTGTGGATGAGTTTTTGGGCCAAGATATAGTCATTGGTGGAGATGGTCAATGCGATTCTCCTGGATTTAACGCCAAGAATTTGTGCTACTTTTTAGTGGAAGTAAATTCTAATTACATATTGCATGTTGAAGTGGTTGATAAAAGACATGTTGGCTTGGTTTCCACCAATATGGAACGGGAAGGAGTTAAGAAATCCTTACAAAAATTGCAAGAAGATTTACATATTGTTGAGTTGGTGACAGATGCATCATCTTCCATCAAGAAATTACTAGGTATCAAGAAATTGCTTTTTATTTTTTGTCTTTGGGCTTGCATATCTCATTATTCTGCATTTTGCCCAAATGCACCTGACTCTGTTGTATTACTACTACTACCTGTCTAATGTCCAGTTGCAAGTATTAACCATAAATTCACGATTGATTAGTTACTATCCAATGAGATGCTTATTAACTGGATTATTAGTATTACTGACTGTATATTTTTTATTTCAGAAACTGAATTTAAGGACATTATACACAGTCTAGATGTTTGGCACAAGTCAAAATCTATTAAGAAGTGTCTTGCAAAGGTTAGTCAATGTCCAAACAGTTGTGTGAATGATTGTAAATTCCAAAATTCTAAGCATCAAGAATTGAATGCACGTGGGATGAAGCCATTGTCACTTGAATGTGATCACATGTCATTTATACTGTAGTGAAATTAATTTTTCCTCACCCATATTATTTTTCTTAATTTTGTTAGCTTAGTAAACCAAAGGCCATGAGCAAAGTCAAAGACTGGTCAAACCACATTGTTCGACACTTCTGGCATTGTGCCAGTGAATGTCGGAAGGATGATTCTACATCTGATGCTGAGGCATTAAGAATAATGAAGGTATAGTAGCTCTTTTATTGTCCAACATATACTGTACACAAAATGAAATCTGGGCACATATTCACACAGGCCTTGTACAATTACCCATGCACTTCACTTCAGTGTTCATATGCAGATCAGTGGCTAATGAGCAGGGGTGCTTGTTTCACATTTTTTTATTTGTTTCACATGCACAGGACAAGTGGATTGGGCTTCTTCATCATATATGTAATTCGCATGAATGGTTGGGTGGTAAATGTGAGCATGCAGAAGGAGAACATGATAGACTATGCCTTGGTTTGATAGACGGGACAAAGACTTTGTCGAATTACAAACGATCATCCTCAATCCAGAACTTCTAGACAGTTTCAAGTACTATACACGCTTTAGGTAAATATTCTTTATGGTAGCATTTACAAAAAAATCAACATTGGTCCAAACATTATTCTATTGTCTCATAGACACACAGGTGGAATTGAGTGTGCCAACAGCCTCAGTCTGGTGTATACACCCAAGAGAGTGCCATTAAGGTTAGTAATGGCCTTATAACATTGTGCTGTACCAAGAGTCTGGTACAAATATAACAGTTATAATGGATCATTGCAGATGATCCACCCCTCCCCAAGTGATGAAGCCAGCCTGACAGTTTGGTTATGCTATGCAAATATTTCTGTGTTCATTGACTGTGAAAACAATCAATTTCTGAAGAAATTTCTGGACAATCAAATTCTGAAGAATAATAATAATTGGAAAATTTGCATAACATGACCAAATTGTTGGGCTGGCTTCACCACTACCCACCCCACCCCCACCATGTTTCTGATGTCTATAGGAGGAATAGCAGAGATAAACTTCCAAAATAGCAAAAGTAATAAGATGTCCAAGGATATCCAATTTACTTAATGGGGAGGTGTGGATGTTTTCTGGAATGATAATCTCGTATAATTGTTTTAGTTACAGGGTGTATAAAGCTAGAAAACAACTTACTGCGATTGACTGGAATTTTCATGCTAACCTTCCCACAGCCAAAAGTGATTCAGGCGATGAAATTGTAACTAGACAATACAACCCCAGGACAAGACAATGGGATATTAAAAGTGTTAAGATTGAGAAAGGATATCAATATATTCCACTGCTCTTGTCCAAGATTATCAGCAGAAGAATACATGATATGGATTTTGTAACACGCAATGTATCACTAAATGCAAGTGATCCAGGCAATATTGCTCCTAATATTGCTCATACACCTGCACCTTCAACGAAAGACCTGCGGCAAAGAAGAAGCAGATTTGTAAAATAAGATAAACAATACTGATAATAAAGTAATGAAGAGTTCCATATATTGTTGTTTCTTATAAATAACTAAATAATAATAATAACTAATAACTTCTATAATAACTTCTCCATGTATCATCTGTACAGGCAAGCCTGCATGTGCTGTCATGCTAATGTTCTCTGTACCCCATGTACACACCTGTCACAGATGGATATCTCTGTCTTATTCTAATTACAACACATGAGGGGCAAACACGACGATTTCCTTTTCCTAAAAACCCATGTCGGGCCAATATAAACTGCCTATATGCTGCTTTACGAAAGGCTCTGGTGCTGTTGTCCTCACGGTCATTTCTTATGTCACTGGTATTTCTGATACAGAGCTCAAGGACATCTGGGTCTAAGCATACTTTTGCAAAACGTGCAGATAATGTTATACACTTTTTCAATTTGCAACATTTGTTCTCTATTTCTTGAGGCATTGGGCTACAATTTGAGCAGACACACCATGAAGGGGCAGCTTCAAGATTTCCTGTTGAGTTTTGATGACTTGTTCCACTTGTACCCTCTGTCTCATCACTAAAATCATCCAAAACCTCTTCTGTGTTATCATTTGTATCCAGATCGTCCTCTGCAATCAGTAAAGTGTCTATGTAATCCATACTTCCTATTCCTCTCCTCAAACTCCTTATTGCCAACTTTCGTACTGTTGTATCGTCAAGCGATTAAATTAATGTCTGCAGATTTAAAAATATGATATTAAAAATATAATAAAAAGTGATATTTACTAGCTATAGCCAACATTTATAACAATTCTAGATGGGTAATTACTCTATAATGAATCCGCCCCTGTTCCCATAGTGATAAAAGTGATAAAGCATATATTGGAAATAGGTGAGCATAGGAAATTATGTCTGGGTATGTGACTATAGGAGGGGGAATTCCCCCCAAATAAAAAAGACCCTGAAATTTGGAAGGGCGAGCTCCCGCCCAAGTCCCAAAACCTAAAATACCCCTCATACACTGCATTTGTATGTACACTAAGTACCTACTAGCTAAATCACAAGCCCCATTTCCACTATTAAAACCATCCTTCAGTACAATGAGCCTCACTGTAGGCAGTTGTTGTCCATGACCCTATCAAGACGCTCAAAATCTCAACAATGCAAGCTGGTAATATGAACATGTAATGATTCACTCATGCAAATTTCTCTCAGCAATGTTTTCTCATTTTTTACAGAGGGGTCATGTGATAAGGCCTTGAAAATGTTTGTATATTATATTGCTGTAATGTTATGTATTAAAGACAGTTAAGGGCTGACTCCAATAGTGCAGAATATTCAGAAATTCAAAAGAAAAATACCTTGACATCATTGTGTTCTTTTTCTCTTTGCTGATCTTCAGTTTCATTTACATTCGATTGCGATAAACCACGAAATCCGTCCCTTGATCGAATTGCTGATCTTTCACGCACTCTATTTTCTTCTGTATCTCCCTGTAACCACAAAAAATCCTCATAAAAGATCTTTCCTCATAACAATATTAACATAATATTGTTAAAATTAGGAAAGAATAAAAATTAAATAAATTTTTATGGACAAACATTGAAACATACCTTATTCTTGCAAGGTTTATTGCGAGTTCCACACTTGCAGTCAACAGAGCACTGCAAGTTTTTCCCCTTGCACGGGCAACCTCTGCTAGAATTTTCTTTTCTTTTTGTTGAACACGAGCTTTTACAACAGCAATAGTTAACCTGTATTTTAAATTCATCACAATTCAAGTCTATTTGACAATTGACAATAAATAATGCAAATATATTCATTCATTTGCGTACTTACCGACGCCTCCATGACGCATCTTCGCAAATATACGAAGCAATTTACGACAGTTTACGGTAATTTACGGTATATTCCGAAAATAAAACAACATGC